CAGGGGACGATGCTGAGATAGCCCACGTCGCTGGCCTCTCCAATGCAAAATAATACAATAAAGCTCGATCTCTTCCTACACAGTACACCCTCGTACCCTGCCCTTATGTATATGTGTATAATATATTCCTGTGGGGGCAAACTCTCTCGAGCTTAGCCTGCATTTTATATATATATACGTGCAAACGACCACGACCGTGACGACAACTTGCTCTCGCTTCCTCGCACATATGCTCCTGTATGCGTGTGGGTTTACAGTGACAAAGCCTTCTTTGCTTTCTCTCTCTCTCTCTCTCTCTCTCTGTAAAGTGTTATGTTCGGCTTACGTTGTATTATTATTATTATTACTATTATGTGCACTATTAGGTAACCACGTGCGTATCCGAGAGTTGTTTCTCTTGACTCTTGAGGATTACGTGACTTGATATTTGTCTATTTTATGAGGTGACTTGTTTCGTTCATATCTACGACTCGCGCTTCATACGGGACTCTGTCCATTTGATTGCTTATTTATGATACGTTATTTCAATTCGTTATTTTTTCTGTTTATGAGTAATTAATATATATTTTTGGCGATGCATTGTCCGGGATATTTTTGAGTTTAAAATACGTATGGATTTTTCCTGAAACTGTTGAAGTACTAGCTTAAAAAATTTTCGTCCCTCAAAATGTTTGACCAATTTAACGGAAAGCGTGTTTTCATATAGATATTAAAATAGTAGAAAGTGTCCCAAAAATTAACACTTCTTTTTCTGGTACTATTAGCTTTTTTTTATTTACTTATTTTTTTTTCAATTTTCTATGACCTTTTGCCAATTGTTTAATCAGAGTTTAGCAAAAAATTATTTATTAAAATTGAAAAAAAAAAAAACGATTCGTGGATGGACATATTTTTTACATATACGAAGATATAATGCACTGGTATGAAGCAGTCATTGTCTAATAAAACGCGAATTTTCAAATAAATATTGAAACAAGAATCAGCAATCTACTCGGATTAATTAAAAGAAATGAAAAATCAGATACTTACAAGTTTTAAAACGAAGCTAAAACAAAAGGACAACAAAAGCGAAGCTATCCCCGTGTCAGGTAAAAAGAGACGACGGTGATTTTATATATTATATTAAACGAGCTAAGCGTGTGCATTTTTGAAGTCTAGAAACAAAAAAAAAAAAAAAGTTCTGGCACGCAGCGTGGCTCTCGAATGAAATGCTGAGCTAGCAGGTTGCGCACATAGTGGTACAGGCACATACAAAGCTATACACCCATACAACGTATACGGGCGAAATACGAATCCTCGCGTTACTCTTTTTTTTTTTTTTTTTTTTTTTTTCTTCGCAATCGTTTTATCGTTCCTTCATTTATGTAGCAGCTCGCGTCTATGTAAATACGCACTACCGTTCGAGAGTAGCCGTATCGTTATTATATCGCTCGGAAACGTTATATCCCAATTAGATATAGAGAGCACATATAGCAATACATCGTAGCCGTTGCACTATACGTATAGAAGTAACGATAAACGCTCAGGGAGTAAACAGAAGGGGGGGAGGAGGATAATAGTACAATGTGGTAAATAAATTGAGCTCTTATCTGAAACAGTCGTCGGCGACGTTTATTCAATAAGTGTAATAATAATAATAATAATAATTTTTATTTACAGATTGGACGACATAACGCGAATTAAACAACACATCTCTCTTTTATTTTCATTTTTGCGTCGCAATCGGGAGAGCCGTATTATACGACAAAACGATGATAATATTGATATACAATATAATATTACATGTATGTATTATCAATGTACACAAATTGAGAGAGCTGGTGCGTCTGTGTGCGCTTTGGCGCTTTTTCTTTTTTTTTTTATTTGTTTATGCTGTATTTGTTTCATTTGTGTGTACGTGTGTTGTGTGCAATATACAGAAATGTGAGCTTGTGTTTTTCATGGTATTCGCTATGAGAACTTGTTTGTTCGATGGTAAGAAAAAATATACCAAATAAACAAAATAAAACTATATGTTCTTTAAGCTCTTCAATTATGTTTTAAATTAAATATGTCATTAATTAAAGATGATCGATTAATTTTTATATTTGTATCATTTAAAAAGTATTACAACGTGAAATATTTAACGATAAATTTTTGATTCAACAATTGTATGAAAATCTTCACAAAATCTCTGCAGCACATTTTTTACAAGAACCACCGTTTCTTCTCAGTAAAAAAATAAAAAAAAAATTAAATAAATAATTAATTCTCGCCACTTTTCGCATCTACTACCTTCTATTCTCATAGCGAATTTTAATGCACGTAAAATTTGTGTGTAAATAATTATATTGGTCTTTAAAAAATAGCTTTTTTTTTTCCGTTGATTACTGATGGTATAGGCTTTATTATATGTTTACGTACATAAGCTTTGGTATTTGGCTTATTACTTATATGTATATTGTATTTATCAGTTAATAATCGAAGGGTATGCAGTGGAGAGTGATATCAGCACATGCTCAAAACTCTATTTTTTTTTCTTTTTTTTTTTTCCCCCTCATNATTCGTAACTTTTTTTAAAAACAATATAATACACGGTCGATCGTCAGTAATTGTCGTATAAACTACAGCTCGAATTTCTTCACTTTTAATACAACAATTTTCAATTGAATTTTCGTCTTTATTATTATGCTACACGTAGTTGTTTTTTACTCCATTAAAAAAAATAGATCGTCAAGAAAAAGTAATGATAAAATTTCGCACCACATCACTAAGATGTCGCTCATCCGACGGATAAAGAGAGGGTTCGGCCAACATCTCTATCCAGCGATAATAAAATTTGTATAGCAATTAAAAATTAACATTTGTTTTATATATATATACTTTAATAAAAAATAATACTTTCGCTAAAATTGATAGACGCTGCTGCGAGTGAATTGAAAAAATGACAGCAGAATATTTACAAAATTAAATGACGGATATAATTATTATTCTATCTTATTATATTTCTTTTTTTTTTTTCACATATTGCACCAGGAACGAGAGACAGATAGCGATTTTTAAGAGTCAATTAAAAAGCTCAGAACTCAACTGCGCATCTAATACTGCATTCGCGTCATCTGCCCGCGATATTGCGTGTATATTATTTTTTCGCTAAGTTTTTTTTTTATTTCACAAAATTCTCTCTGTTGCATATAATATGTCGCTTTTCTAAAGACTTATGTTATAGCATAAAACTAAGTATTTCTTTTCTTTTTTTTTTTTTTTTTTTTTTTTCAATTACGTTTTTACTCTTCATCCGTAAGAGACAAATCTGAGCTCGTTACTTTACACTCAATTTTTTTTTTCCATCCCTCATCTACCTGTCCGATAAACAGTCTTTGAGTGCAGAATTATCTCGAAAGAATTAAAAGTCTAAAATTTCGAAAATGTTACGAAAACTTTTTTAATATCAGCGTTGACATCTAGACGAAAAAAAAAAAAAATAAATAAATAAATAAAGTACACTGAGAGAAATGATGGTAGAAACCGACACTCTGCGTGCAAAGTTTAACGTTCCGTGCCTAGAATCCGATTTAAGGACCGTGCGAGAAGTAGTCAGTTTGCACATTGAAGTTAAAATCTTCCCATAATGAATGATGAATGGTGTATTATGCATCTTGTACTTTAGAACCGGTACAAGTTATTTTTCGCCACTGAGTGGGCGAAGTTCAACTTCAAGTATAACTTTTTGGAACGTCAGTGTGGAAACGCGAATTAGTTGTATCGCTGGAATCTGGCACTTCGTATTCTACGTAAGACTGTGAAGTTTAACTTCGCGCGACAAAAACGGTGCAAAACAAATTGTAGTATGAGTGCACCTGGTGGTTCTTCCATTTGCTTCGGTCAAGCGATACGATTTAGACTGATGTGAGAATGATGCGTGATACAAATTTTTGACTTTCCAGGAAACTACTTTTCGCACGGGGCACAAAAATAAGAGTACCGCGATAAATAAAAAAAAAAAAAAAAAAAACCAATTTATTATTTCTCTCAGGGTGAGCATTATTAGATAATACGGACAGCAGACGAGCGACGAAGATTATAGAATAAGAAATCGTTATGACACGAGCAGTCTATCTCGGTAAAACACAGCCCACTTCGCGATTTCACTATCATTCTTTCTCGTTTCCTTATTTTATTCCATTTATGCATACGTATGTTTACAATCTAACGTCAAATATACAAGATAATTTGTACGCGGGCCTCGTAAGTATACACGTTCTCTCGCGTTCAAGTAACCCTCACGTTATATTTTTATCAAAACCCATACTCGACTTCCGTTCTGCCATCACACGACCGCAACAATGATCAACGACTGTTAATACCACGCAACAAAAAAAGACGAAAGGGAGCAGGTGAGGCCCAACGAGTGCTGAAGCAAAACCGAAGGTTGAAAAAAAAAAACAAATATCACGTATAACACGCGAAAATTGTGATAACAATCGCGTGGTGCGAATCGTATACCGGTCAGAGGTCACGGAAACTTCAACGCTCATATATGTATACGTGTATAGCACATGAGCGATAACAAGTGCGGCTCCGCGCGAAGTTTATCGCGGCACGTGAAAACTTTGTAAATCCAAATAAAAACCACGTGCTCGCGTGCGGATGAGTAACAAAAAAAAAACACATGAGCCGCGCGATAAGGGAGAGAGAGGCCGCGAAAAACACAACGCGAAGTTGCCATTGATCTCTTAGCGAGGGGCTATCGGTGACATGCGTTTTTACGGGCGCTTCGGACGAGCGGAAAATCGAGCAGCGGCACGCGGATATGTGGATCGAGAGACCGGATTCTGTGCAACGGCCAATTAGAGACCGACTCTTTTTGCCAGCAGGCCGGACGGAAGAGGCGGGCTTTAACGTTACTCGGTATCCCTACAGTCGTCATCCCGGGGCTTTCCTTGACTTGTCGACACAATGCACCCACGAGAGAAGAGGACTCACCGGCACGGACGGCCTCAGGTCCAGCGGGTTCGGTGTCACAGGTAGACCTCGGGACTGGCCGGCTGCTGCTGCTGCTGGTGGTGGTGGTGGTGGTGGCTTGGCGCCGGTGGCGGTGGGGGTGGTGGTTGTTGCTGCTGGGGCTGTCGTATCCGGACGAGGGCCTCGTAACGGTGCTTGTAGAGGTCCAGTTCCTGCTGGACGCGCGCCATGTCGACCTTGAGGAGGTCGAGCTCGTGCTGGAGGTTGCGGTTCGTCAGCTCGAGCTCGTGGCGCTGCTGGACCCGCTTGGTCCGGCAGTTCTGGGCGTAGCCCCGGTTCTTGAGCGTGCGCCGCTTTTGTTTCAGCCGGACGATCTTCCAAGCATAAAAGTTAAAGAGCGCAGGGGACGATTATTTATTAACAGCATTTGACGGGGTGGGGGTATAGGGCAAGGGGTTGTTGGCAGGTGGGATGGGGGGGGGTGAAAAAACCAAAGATTTGAGATACCTCTTCGCGAGTGCAGCCCTGGAGCCTCTTGTTGAGCTCGCGCACGGTGAGGGACATGAGGATGTCGTCGTCGAGGAGACTGTCGTGGCTGCCCGGCGGATCGGGGCTGGGTCGCATGCCGGGAGGTCCGCACGAGCTCGTCGAGCAGATGCTCAGTGGCCTGATCGGGTGATGGAGATGCTGCTGCTGCTGCTGCTGCTGTTGTTGGGGTTGGGGTTGCTGGTGGGGGTGCTGCATCGGTAGCTGCTGCAGGTTCTCGTCCAGCTGCATCGGCATTATACCACCGTTTGGACTGGACCCGCCGTTGCTCGCATAGTACTCGATGTGACCGCCTATTATGTAACCCCCTGTTGAGTAGATTTGTTTTTTTTTTTTTTTTTTTTTCATTTCTAAACTATTGTATGCAGGTTGTACGGCCGGGTCAGCGTTTTGTTTAAACACTGCAGGTATTTTTTTTTTTTTGTTTTTTTTTTTCCCCCTTTTGTCCAATTTGGGCGCCTCAGGGAGAATAAATCACACAAGGTTTTCCTGATGCGAAGAGCGCGTCTGCCCAAAACGGGATCGTTACTACTTAAAAACGAGGTATCATCGCGCATTGCTCCGCCCCCACCGATTTCAATGAAAAGTCGATCGAGGCAACTCGAACTTTTCGCCAAACGCGCGTCTCAATTGTTGTTCACGAAAAAAAAAAGAAAAAAACAAACCTGCTGTTGCTACAAACAAAATCACTCACTCGCCGCGACCGATAACCCACAAAACAGATGGGCATGTGCAACAATGCTATATGTGTATAATGATGAGCGAGGGTTACCGACCGGCGTGCCTCGAGTGCCTGCCGGCTCCACCACCGGCGGCCAAGTGTCCCCCGTGATGATGATGGGGTGGATGGTGGTGATGGTGGTGGTGGTGATGGGGATGATGGTGGTGCTGCACGAGGTCGGGCAAGTGGTGGGCCGGCCAGTGCTCCTGGGCCTCGAGTTCAGACTCGGAGCTCGGCTCCGGGGGACAGTGAGGCCTCAAATCCAGCGGCTCCTGTCTCAAGCTCTGCGTCAACCAGGGCATCCCCGTGTCGAGCATAACCGACTCGGGGGCCTGCTGCTGTTGCTGCTGGTGTTGTTGTTGCTGCTGGTGGTGGTGTTGTTGTTGTTGTTGTTGTTGTTGTTGTTGTTGATGCAGCTGGTGGTGCGGGTGGAGGGGCGGTTGCTGGTGGTGTATCTGCTCGAGGTGCATGCGCTGGAGGTGCTGGAGGGTGGGCGGCGAGGCGGACACCGGTGGCGTGTCGGGTGGCGTGCCCGGGTGCGAGAGGCTCGTGAGACCCGGGGCCCCCCCAGTTGCAAAGGGCAACTTGACGAGGACACCCGCCTCGACCACGTGCTGAAGGGGCACCGGCTGGCCATACATGGGCAATTGATGCTGCTCGAGCTCGTGGGCCGGAGGCGTCAGGGGCCCCAAGTGCTGCTGCGGCCCCAACGGCGTCCCCGCGTTCCCCGACTCGACCCCCGTCGCGGGCGACACCCCCTGATCCTTGCTCGGCACCTCCACCACGACATTATTGTTGTTGTTGCTACTACTATTGTTGTTGTTGTTGTTGTTGTTAGTCGTAGGGGTGGCGTGTACGCGCGCGAGCAGGGCAGCCGGAACGGGTGCCTTCAGGGGGGGAGCACGTTGCTCGGCCGCCTCGCGCTTCACCTCCCCCGGGGGTGGGTCCGCCAGGTGGTCGAGGACAAACTCCTGCACGTATTCGCGGGCGAGGTGCTCCTCGGCCTCCATCTTGACCTCGTCGACGTCCACCGGGACCGCGGGCGCGGCATACGGCTGGAGCGCAGCGGCGCCCGCGACCGTCGCCGCCACTTCGGCAGCCCCGGCCTGCGCCGCCGTGCCCCCGGGGATGATGATGATGCTCCTCCTCCTGCCCCCTCTTGTGACGATCCCTTTTTTTCAACCGACGAGGACCTTTTTTTCCTTTACCAAACTCGGGCGACACACTCCGGCGAATTGTCCGATACTCGAAAAACCATCAGCGACTGCACCGTATATATTTATATATTTATTTATATGTATATATATAGTATCGGGGGCGCGACTACTCTTGCATCACACCAGGCCCGTGGATGGACCCATGCACAATCACGACGAAGCAGCTGTTGCAGTCGGGACGGCCGCGAAGCGACGACTGAGCTTTGGCGTTCTCTCTTTCTCTCGGGGGCGCCGGCACCGCGACGCCGATGTTACGTTGGCTGGCTCTTTCGGAGCTCAGCGAGGGCGGGTCGGCGCCGCCTCCAGCCCTCCGGTGGTGCGCGCGCGAGCGAGAAGGACGACGGAGCGCGCGGGAGTGTTGATTGGCGCGCCAGAGGCCGGGCCGCCATTGGTCGGTACGTACCCCCCACCAGCACCTCGCGTGGAAAAGCTCTGCAAGCTCCGGGTGCCATACGTGGGTATACCCAGGTGTGTGTGTGTGTTGGTGGGTGTATGCACCTGATGAGTGCTGTATATAGGTGTGCAAGCTCGAGCCCCCCCCCCCCATCTACTCGGCTCCACGAGCGTGTAAGCTCGTTATGCTAATTCTGTATGCGTCGATAGGGAGGTGACACCTATATATATGGACGCGTATACGGTGTGCCTTCTCTTCCGTACCGCCATGCCGATTTACGCCAAAAGTTGCCCTCGGCTCACCTTTTCCGCGACCTCTCGCTCGCGCCCTATCCTTGGCCAAGTGCTCCCACACCCTGTATACCTCGTTTCGGGCCCTTTATCGGCTCGCACGATATAGGCGAGTGTGTTGAACATTTTTTTGCTTTTCCTCCCTTGCGGTTAATTCATGTGTGTCGTCAATGATTTTACTGACTTTTTTTTTTCTTTTTCTGTTTGACAAACGAGTGCTGCGAAGCATGTCTGTTGTCTGCAGCCCACGGTTAAGTATATTATTTTTACTTCACGACTTCAAAGTATGCTAAACGTTTGAATAGCCTTTTCTTCTCGCGTTAAAAGAATTAAAAAAAAAAAAAAAAAAAAAATTAGGTTTCCGATTCAGATGGTGTTTTTTTACAAGTGACCACTATTTTTTACTCCTTTCGATTTACTTAATAATTAGAACTGTCCAATTTTTTCACAAATCTAGATGCATCTAAAGTGGCAACACTATTGATTCTCGAATCGCGTCTTGGTAAAAAAAGGAGTTATTGTACCATACAGGTACACTTTTTTCATCTTGAAACGTTTTGAAAATCGTAAGCTGAAAAACTACCGATTTATTTTTACACCCTGTGTACAACCTGCAGAAAATTGCAAGGAAATTCCAATAGTATATTTTGGAAATTTTATTGCGTTTTTTTGTAAAATAACTTCCTTATCCTTCTTTGCAAACGTTGTCTTACAAATAAATGTGCAACAGCACAAAAAATATTCCGCCACATCGTCAGGTCACGAAGGTTGAATTGAAGATGTACAGGCTTACGAACGCATCATCAATATAATTTCAAGTAAATATTTATTACAAATTTAATGTGATACCATGTATTAACTACAATTATAATTGATTGTTTGTAGGATAGTTTTTTTTCTTTTGTCAGTTTTTAAAATTAAATCAACGATCAACTAAAAAGATTTGAATTTACTGACCAAAAGAAAAACTCAACGGAAGCCCGGCATACTATAGCCGATGTACGATTTTTAAAAATAAAAAAAAAAGAAGAAAAAAAAGTGATGAAAAGTAAGTCGAGCGATGTGTGTATATTTATATATTTAACTTTGTGAAACCGGACATTAGGCGAAACCGAGAATAAGGCATTGAGGAATCCGTCGACGCGGCAACTTCCCTTTCGCTTTCGGCTTCAAGTTGGTTCGCTTTTTCTTTTCCCCACTTCGCGACCCTCCGCACCATATATATACATGTATACTCATGAACACGTGCGCGGTTCATTTGTCGAGTACACAAACGTATGAAGAAAAAAAAAAAAAAAATCATAACTTTGAACGCTTAAGCGGCCGCAAAACCCGATCAATTAAAATAACCAATTGTTCGTAGAAGAGAAAAAAATAAAGAAAAAATCTCGAGATAATACCGAAACCGATGAAGATTTACTGCCAAAAAGAATTGGTCGGCAAGACGTATACATGCAGGGAAAAGGTACACGCCGGAGCGTATCATGCGCGTAATCTCCGGTTGATCTGGCTGATGTTCAACAGCCAAGTTTTCCCGTTAGATTTATACGGACACAAGGGCAATAGCATTCGAACGTAAGACAGGGTACATAACATCCCTTTTTTTTTTTTTTTTTTTTTTCGTCGCCACGTATATAGTTACGTACACGTACATCTGATAAGCTTGTCCGTATAGGTGCGTCCAAAGCAACTCCGCGTATACATACGTGCTCGTGTATATATAGATATAAATCAAGAGACGTATACGCTCGACAGCGATTTTCGCTCGAGTGGTAAACACACAAGATCGTGCATTTATTCATTCATTTGTCCATATTTAAAAATGTACCTAAAATCTGTTTAGCAATGAACAAAGTGTAACAATATGATTTCTCTCTTGCAATGCGACGATCGAACCATAAATGTATACAATAGTAATCTAGCGAGAAAAAAAAAGGGGGGGGGGAGGAGATTAGGTTTGCAAGAAAAGCCGGCTACACCGCGCTCTTTAATAACGCGGCAATAAGCGGTTCTCGCGCGCCATGGCATAAAAATGGTAAAAGCGTGTATATATATATATATATAAAAATGAAAAAAAAAGGGAAAAAACGAGGCTCGATGGATCTTTCGGAATGAGCGAGAAGGGGGGAGGAGGACTAGAGAGAGCGAACCGCGATGAACGAAAGAGAGGAGGCGGAGAGGATATACACAGAGGGAGAGTGCTGAGCCAGCAGATTCGCGGGTGGTAGCACCACCGATCCAACTCGTCCGTATATACCTGTATATACACTTACCGCCCGCCCGATGCTCACTCGCGGCTAAACATCGATATGTGCCTGCGTATATGAATAATATATTATAATATGATGGGTGTCCATACATATACATACATACATATATATACTCGTTTATTAAATAGAGAGAGACACTACACGCGTTTGTTGATTATTAAATTAAAATAAAAGAAAATTTGCAAGCGCCAAATAATTTGCGTGCTTGATAAGCTTTGCAAAAATACGAATGGAGAAAAAGTAACGGAGAATCGGCGAGTTTAGCTTACATGTTTTTTTTACCGATGAGCTAATTTTTTTTTTTTTTTTTTTTTTTTTTTTTTGCATCTAATGTTTCACGGGATGTATACTCGATGTCAATTCGTTGAATTACCCTTTACATTGTAATATTACGAGGAGACAAATAATGTAAACCTATTGGGGGTTTTTTTTTTTTTGTTTTGTTTTGTTTTCGGCGGAAATATATCCACCCTATGGGACCGAAAAAAAGGGGGTAAACAAATAAAAGTACGAATGACAATCCGTGATTTGCCGGGGGAGGGGGGATGGTTAGGAGTTGCAGGGAACGAACAACGGCCGGAAATAATAATCACCCTCTCTCTTTCTCTCCGATTCGGTCGAAAGAATGGAGAAATCGCCGGATAATCCGCGCATAGTCGTTGCCGTGCCACTATTACCATTATATTGCTACGTGCTGCTGCTCATTTGTTCGTCGCGATCTGACGGATGACAATGAAAAGCACAGGAGGAGGAGGGTCGTATTGCCCCGACTTCTCGGATCATCACTGCGACAAGCCGCAATCATTAGAGCGATGTGTCTATGTATACATATATATATATATATACGCGCGAACACTGCACGTACATATGTATATTTGTTCTAATGCTCTGACGTTTTACCTACCCCCCCCCGCCTGTATCTGTCAATTCTCTCTCTTTCTCCGTTTCTCCACTCTTAACTGCTTCATTGAGGTATTCAACGAAACTCACGTCCGAGTATTTACAGTATACGTATATAATATATATGCACGCGTGGGGAAAGTCTGTTATTCACTCGTTAAATATACCTTTGCCATTATTACTTTTATGTGTATTACATACGCGTACTAATCATTTAAACTTTGTTGACGTTTTCACATTTTTTTCCTTTTTTTTTTTTTATTAAGGATATGTATGAAAAAAAAAAAAAAAAATTTCGTCTCACGTGTACTTTGTTATATACGTACAGATAGTGGTGTCGGATTCCCACACGAGAGCTGCGAACGTCGACGTGTGATTAACACACACACACGGAGTGCATGTTTTTGATGCAACAAAATTAACGTAGCAAGCACAATTGGATATTCGTATGAGACTCGGATTTTTTTTACTTGCACTGCTGCGATGACTATATATATATATATACATGATACTACTGTATGACTAATTTTTTTTACCCACTCGCCTGCACATTTTGTATGATATTGTTTAAATCTGAGTATTTTGAAGATTAGACTAAATTGAAAGAAAACATATCCATACGTGTATATCATTAGTTTATCTACTCCGTTGTCTATGCTGCAGGTTAAAGAATTTTGTTCAGAATCTCCACGGCTGATCCTGGAGAGGGTTGTGCCCTTCCGTGCCATTTTTTCAAAGTTTCCCTCGCTGAGAAAACATTCGAGATATCACGTCAATTGGGGAAAGAGGAAAAAATCAAGAGTCACAACAAATCACTAGTTTTAAGGTTGCATGTTTTTCTTACGTATCTGGTGCACATCTGAGGGTACCCTCAAAAATAGGGTTTAAAATTAAGTGACTCCAATATATTATCGATTAAAATCTTTTTGAATCAATCGATTGTGCAGACTCTGGAGTGCCAAATTTTTGTTTGATCCATCGACAGCTGTGCTCCTGTGGGTACTTTTTCTCCACAAAAAAAAACAAAAAACAAAAAAAAAAAAAAAAAAAAAACACCGAAAGAAATCTGCACATCTGCGTTTATCGGGCCATTATTCAATTTTCTTTCGGACGGCGCACCTCAAATCGACCAAGGATATATTCATCACGGATTAAGGTGACGGGGGTATAGAGGGGATTCGAGGAGCGACGGAGTCTCCTATACGCGCGCGGTTTTGCGTCGTAGGTTTCATTACAAGATACTTATATCATTGCCAGAGAGGTGCTGGTACACTCTTTGTGTTACACTCGTCCACGATAAAAAGAAGAGCGTCATAATGCCGCCATAAGATCCCTCGCTTATCGCTGTATTGTTGCCGTATATTTACGTTACATGCACGTATAACGTATAGTATATATATGTACTTGTTGGAATATTTAGCCATCAAATGTTTCATTACCCATTGCATATTAGAACGTATACATAGTGTATGGTCCGGCTGCTGTGTACAAAATTTTGTTTTGTTCGAGCCACGACACGCCCGATTGCTCGCATGTGGTGTAAATACGAGTAGATCTCCACCGCCGCGTCACTGTATCGCTGATAGTATAAACTTTGTATTGTTATTATATACATATTTATACACTTGTAACGGGAGTCTATCGCAGTAGCCGCTCTCGCTGCATCGGGCAAACGGAATCGGTAACATATATACATACCTTTTTTTTTTTCCACGAATTAATACATCACGGGCACTATGACGCTCGTCTACATTATCAAGGGTGTCTTTTTTTTTTTTTATGTGATTAAAGGTCGCTTATTTCGACTACCCCCTTCCCCGCTTTTTGTTATAAATATAATGGCCACACTCGGGTTTTATCGGCCCTTTTTTCTTATTTTAAACCCATACGGTCAATGGAAAAAAAGAAAATTCAATTTTCATAAATATTAATTGTATACGTACCCATAGGTACAAGGTGAAAAAACAATGCAGATCCACCGGGTGAATATTCGGAAACGGGGAGAAAAAAAAAAAAAAAAAAAAAAATTATATTCCAAAGGGAAGAGATAAGGAATAAGACGGCCGAGGGTGTGTAATTATACGCGTAGAACGTAGAAAAATGTAATTCTTCTTTCGGAAAAAGGTATGTATGATTATCTATACCTATGCATGCATACACAATACACACACCAAGGAACAACCGAACAAAAAGAGCACCAAAAGCAAAGCTTTAGCAAAGTTGGTATTGTACATAATAACGTATAGAACCAGCAAAAGGATGTATATACATGTAATGTAAGGGAAAGGGGGGGGAGGATATAAAAAAGAGCGAAGAGCAGCCACGGGCAAGGGTTAAAGCGCAAACATCGTTAATTCGCACCGCCGGCGGGCCAAAAGGTCAACATTGCATCGTTGCTCCCTCTCTCGTTTTACTTCCCGCGGTGAGAGAGAGAGAGAAGAGAGAGAAAAGGTAATGCTACCGCGCGCACCACCAGCCACGGCAAATATTATGCGCTGGACCGTGTAATTCGCGCGCGGCGCTCTTAATACTTACTCTTTTGTTCGGCGCTTACGAAATAGCTAGCGAGTAAACTGTGCTATATATATATATGTATATGCGCATGCAAATGGCTCGTAGGTATACTGCACCACGCGCTCACTTTTTGCGTATGGGTGTACGATTTTTACTCTCTGTTTTATGCGTGCAGGGGATGAATATAATGACGGTGGAGAAAAAAAAGAGAGGAGACTCAATCGATGCTTTGCACGGTGGTGGAGGTGTGTATATTATATGTGTAGCGCGCGATACGGGACCTCCCGAGGTGATGAGCTGCGAGACAACTGTATTTGCGGTGCACTTTCGCGGGTCGCGTCGCTCGATGGCCCCTCGCTTTTTTTTTTTTTTTTTTTTTTTTTCCTTTTTTTTNCGTTGCTCTACAGTTGGCTCGTGCAATCCATTCAACTTCAAGCCGGTCATTCATGACCAAACGAGAAAATGTAGAGAATATATATATATATATTTTTTTTTTTCTCTTTCTTTTACAGTCAATCGTTCGAATTTTCGTTTGATAAGTTGTTCGTCACGTTCACGTGGAAATTGGAAAAACCGAGCAATCACGTGCTCACAAACTCGAAACTACCACTTATTTATTCATTTATATTTATATGCATATCAATATTTTTTTTTTTTTTCATGCAGCTCTAGATCTCACGCAACTGCTATCAAATATATTTGAACAACGTATAAGAGAAAAGCTTTATTTTTATATTACATTTATCATCATCGTGTAAAATAAATTTATATGTAGTAAAATTTGTAATTCAACCAATTAGTAATAAACATAAAAAAAAAAATTGTTTTTTTTCTTTTTCCGCAGACGCTTCAACGTGAACAATGTACTTTAGCGTCGTTTGGTCCATCTAGGTGCTGTATGGTGCTGGTAACTTGTGGCGTTGGACTTCTTTAGGGAAGACTCGGTCGTCCGAATTGCGAATTGGGGAGCAAAACCAAAATAGTACTGCATATAAGTATACAGAGCCAAGAATGGCAGTGAGAAAGGAGTATACTGCGCACACACATAGGTATAGAAAGGAGGGCCACCCGCGCACGATTGAGGCAGGAGGAGCGAAGGCAGAAACAATTACTAGACAATAGTTTGTTACCGAAAATGCCGAATCAGGTTTAATCGGTCATTGCCGCTGCTGTTACAATCCTCCTTTTATCTCGCGAACGGAGCGCAAATTACTTTTTTCACCTGTACAACCGCGTTTTTTCATCTTTTTTTTTTTTTTCTCCCCAAAGGGTGAACTGCCTTTTTTTCCAACTATGAACGAGGATTCGGAACAAAAAAATATATTGTAAAATTGTATTAAAGCTTTTTATTTTTATTTCATGGGCATATAAAATTAACAATATTCATACAAACAACTCCGACAATCGTTTCGTTGTTTTGATAATAACGACAACCGACCAAGGATATATTCATCACGGATTAAGGTGACGGGGGTATAGAGGGGATTCGAGGAGCGACGGAGTCTCCTATACGCGCGCGGTTTTGCGTCGTAGGTTTCATTACAAGATACTTATATCATTGCCAGAGAGGTGCTGGTACACTCTTTGTGTTACANAGCTTTTTATTTTTATTTCATGGGCATATAAAATTAACAATATTCATACAAACAACTCCGACAATCGTTTCGTTGTTTTGATAATAACGACAACCCATGGCTTTCAAGCAGCTGTGAACTTTCCGAGTCATTCGTTAGAAAAATCACTTGATTTTTCGACGCTTTCAAACTTCTGATGAAAATAAATAACTAATTATATGTACACAGAGTTTTACAAAGCATTGGAATAATCCCTATTAACTGATACTTATATTTACAAATGTTTCGCAGACAACATTGCGAAATAACATTTTCAAATACCTTTTTCTTTGTAAGCGCACACACGGAATAGCCGGACAACGCGTGTGAAGACTTAGTGATCGATGGCCAGCCATTTATCGGTATTTTGCTCGATTTGCTTCGTGAGTATCGGGTTGCGAAGTCGAATCTTCACTTCTAAACTGCCGCCGACTGCCTTGCGTCCTTCCATCAGCTAAAATTGTGATGGTAACGTGAAAATTCGATTAATGATTGGGTGTAAGTTTAAAAAAAAGTAATTTACGGGGAACGAGTCGTGTAGAATGCACTTTGTCTCGAGAGGTTGAAGCTTAATAGTTACGGTGCCAACGAGACTGTCGGCTCGGAAAAATCCTCTGGAATAGAAAAATTTCACTTTTTTCTTATAAACAAACATGCCCAAGGTAAACGGGTCTAATACAAAAATTACGTTGCTCTACAGTTGGCTCGTGCAATCCATTCAACTTCAAGCCGGTCATTCATGACCAAACGAGAAAATGTAGAGAATATATATATATATATTTTTTTTCTTAGACATCATAAAAATAAGGTAGATAAATTTTTGCGAGATATTGACAAAATGATATTTTACCACGAGTCCAAATATGGTACTAACTAAGTACAAGGTTACTTTCTGTGAAACTTGCATACCTTGGATGAGTGCAACACATGATGGGATTCAGCGAGCATCTGCAAGCAACGTCCTACTCTATCAACTAATGTCAACTAATTGCAGTCTCTTAAAATCTAGCCTCTAATTACAACATCAACACCGATTATGATATTTTGTAAAACTATTTCTACTAAAGAGACTAGCAACTTTTTACAACAAAATAATAGGCATTATTGTTATGATGGTATCAAAATTTTCGAGACAGACATGCAATAAATAGTACGTTACCCTTTCGACCAGACTTGACACTTCAGTGCGTGTCTTTTGAAAACTCTAAGACACTGCCGTGACTTGCGATCGATTATTCCATTTAATGGAAAAGTTGTATTGTACTCTGGATTGCAAGTGTCCCTAACGGTTGAAGTTCTATCGCTTGACGTGCTGTCAGGAGGCAAAGGTAATTCAAACATGACGTAAGTATCGACTTCTTTAGTATAATTTATGCCTCTGATGATTGAAATTTCTACATCAGCATCAGTCATATCTGTGCAGCTTCTGCGAAAATTGCAAGGAATAAAAATGAGTGAGAAACATTCGCGGATGTAAATGAAATTGAAAGACAAAGCTTACTGCACAATAGAGTAAGTTTTAACTTCGTAGTGATGTTGTGGGGGAGATAAATTTGCTCGTTTTCGAACCCTCAACATATCCAAATCTTTTGTGTAATTTAAAGCAAGTCTCTCCCATTTGTTATAACTTGGAACGTCTCCAAGAGCTTTGCAATGATCTCTCGTAGTCAAACACCACTAAAATAATAGTTGTTAAGAGTAAACTATACCAGTGTGAACAAAAAAAAGAAAGAAAAAAAAAAAAAACTTACTTTGATCTGTTTTTTTAACTGATCTTCGAGATTTTCGTAAATTTGCGGATCGGTACCAGTTGCTTCTTCAGAGCAATCCATCGACGTTATCACGGTAAAACTGTCGTCTGATAATTTTTCCGGTTCCAAATCTGACTTTTTTAGATCAAGTTTTGCTTGAGGGGATAAAGGAATGGAATTCATATCTACAGGTAAACCGCTCAAACTCACGTTGATCAGCGGATCAATTCCCTTTGCCTGTCTAAGATAATCTCTGGCCGAATCCTTATCTCCAGCTATCAAAGCTGTCTTGGCTGCTAACCTCAGTTCTCTCTGGCGATTTTTCAAAGCTTCGATTTGTTTATCCACTCGAGTTGTTAATTTTTTGTTTTTATCTAAGATTGTAAGACATTATTTTTTGAACTTTTTCAAAATCGTATATTTAGCGAGGGGATCGTAATTTTGTACTTTCATCGTACCTGAATTTTTTCGGAGTGGAGCAACAGGTGTTGCTGGTTCTTCTGGACTGGGTGATAAAGCTGCAGCTTCCCCAGGAGATTCTGCTGGTGGCGGTGGTGGTAGACGCTTCGGTGTTTCCGGTTGTTCAGATACTTCTTCAGCAGTAGGTTTTGGTAGAGAAGGTTTGGGTCCTGCTAATTCAGTAAGTGGAGGAAATCCGGGAGGCGTTGGCAATTCATCAATAGGTAGAGGTTTTCCTCTCGCATGGAGCTTAAGGGCATCCTCAAACTGCTTGCAAATGCGGCCGTATCTTCGAGCTTTCGATGAATTTCCCTCGCTCTCGGCTACCGTTTTAGAACGACGATATATTTCCAAACGCTCTTTCAAGGCAGTTTCTAAGGAAACAGGTACTTCAGATGCACTTGAGGCTAAAATATTTTCAACAAATTATTGATTTTACTTTAACAAGGAACAAAAGTTAATGTAATTAGCAAGTATTACCAGGCACATTAGGTTCAACCAAAGATGCTGTCTGATTCGTATTTTCTTCTTTATTTTCTTCCAACGCACTTTCAGAAGCTACAGTGCAGTTTGGTAGTGAAGGTGACGGTGGCATGTCTGATAAGTCGATTATATTACCTTGAGAAATTGCTTCAAAAGCAGCATCAAATTGTTTTAGTATTTGCATGTGCTTTAAAGCTTCTTCTCGATTTCCTGACTTTTTCCATACCAAAGCAGCTTTTTTATACTCCTCCTGACGAATTTTTAGCAGTTTTAATGTAGCCTCGTCTATTGTAGGAGTCGTTGTTTCTTGATTTATTGGTTCTGGTTGAACGGCTGGTGTTAAACTAATTTCCGCAGGCTCTTGAACTGACTCAGGTGCAGCAGGTACTTCTGGAGCTTAAAAAATATAAACACTATGTGAGACTGCAAATACTTAGTTAACCATGATACACATTGAAAATGCATACCTGCAGATGGTACATCAACTTTTCTTGTAGCAGATGGTGGCAAAACAGGAGGAATTTCCGACTGATCGATTTGTTCTCCATGTTTACAAGAAGATAACAAATGCTCTAAAGTCTTGACACCCCTGTTATATCTTCTGGCCTTGCTGGACTCATTTTCCAACTTAGCTTTTTGTTCTGCCAACTTGTATATCGACAAACGTTCTTCCAATAACTTTGAAATTTCACTCACATCATTTACTGCATCATTTTTTTGTTCAGGCTCTACTACTGATTCATCTTCTGATTCCCCATTAAGATTTTTCAATTCGTTCTGTTAAATATAATTATCTAATGAATATCAACACTTTTATTAAACACTGAATTGTCATACCAATAAGTCAGGATCATCATCGTCATCATTGCCAGATATTTCATCGTCAGAGTTAATGTCTCTCATGCTTTCGTTGATCAAGTCATCTAAATTAACAGCTGGTTTTGGGGGTACTGGAGCTTAATACAAATATTGATAATGTAGGCAAGTGTAAAATGACTTTAAATTATCGAGTGGATTTTGACAAATATACCTTTTCTTCTTGGTTTAATTGGTTCATCACCAGTAGTAAGAGCAGCTAATTCAGCTTCTAAATCATCGTCATCATCATCAATGTCTATCGAGCCACCAAGATCGCCTAAATTCTCGGGAATCTCGAAAATACCATACTGCAAAAGATTTATTAACATAAAATTCCAAAAAAAAAACAAAAAACGAACAAAGGTTCCGAATTAACACTTGTCAACTGTGCAAGACAGAGCAATTTAAAAATAAAGCAATTACCTGAGCAAGACTTCCTGCAGGCCTGGCAGGACGTTCCTTTTTAGCTTCCTTTTTTCTGCCAAACATCTTTATTTTTGCAGAAATGAGAGACTGTACAAGTTTTTTTTAACTATTATGATTTATGATATCATCAATCTATTATCACAAAAGACTAAGGGTAAGTTTCAATGAAGTCGAAAACTATGAGTCACTGATTCGGACTGGAAGCTGGAAGTTGGAAAGAGAAAAAGGTTTGGAGTTCATTTAAACACTCCTTTACGCATTGGTAAGTATGGCGGTAAACTTTTGAATGTAATCCCAAAAAAATATTTTTTGACTAAAATTTGGCATTAAAAAGATAAACATGTTCATAAAAATAAAAAGAAACAAAAATTTTGACCAAATAAAAGTTGAATCGATAAAGTGTGTATTGGCCTGGTAACTAAAAAACTGAAGGTATTATTAGTTCATTTGACAGTTTCGACAGTTTTACGAGGTATGGCAATGCAATTGATAAAATATCCATTTCTTGTCGAATTTAGACCTTGAAAATTTGTATAGTATCGGTCATAATGTGTTGATTTGACGTAGTTTTTTTTTTTTAAATAACCCTTCAAGTGGAGCATCAAGACAAGTAAGTCAAGTTCAACGATCAAGCAGCTTAATTAAATAAAGTAAGTAGAATTAATTAAATTTTAAATGTACTTTTTTTTTTTTTTTTTTTTTAATTTGTTTCAAGGATTGGCCGCTGCACGGGCGGCGAAAGAGAGGCGCGATAGGGAGCGCAAAAACAGTACAGTAAATATGTATATAGGGGAGAGCTCCTCGTCGCCGTCATTGTCGACACGACGAGTGTCCTCACCTTATTGCTCCACGGATTAACTTTAAGCCTTATAGCCCCAATTGGAAGAAAATATGTGTATTAACTTGTGTGTGACGTGGTTGATAGTGCTTATCTCCGAACTAACGATTTGAGTTTTCATTCGACATTTTGAAGCCTCTCGTGAAATGTAGAGCGCAAGCATCGCATGTAAATGCGTGTAGGTAGTACGTGTAATATTTTTCTCTTCCTTACAATCGGTTTGCGTCAAATTAATCTACGTTTACATGTAGTTACTAGCATCGTATATGCTATCAAAATAACAGCACTGCCAATGACTTGCTTTTATTTCAAGTTTTAGGCAACGAGAAGTGAAAAAAAAATTTACGGAAAAAAAATCTGGTAGTCGTGGCATACGATTAAACATAACGTATTGATAGTAGTTTCGAGCTAAGTGATCATCAGTACCTGAACGATGAGTCCAGTTGCAGTGATATTGAACTCTTGACAAAACGAGACTTGCAAAAGCTCGCCAAGCTGTAAAAATGGCCAAGAGATCCATCACTTACCACCTGTCCTCTTGCTTTATCCTTTTGCTCGTTTGTGGATACAGCATAGGTAAAGCTTTGGAGATATTTTATGATGGGAGAATTGAATACATGAGCAGAGAGGAGAGGGAAACGTTAAAGTGTGTATCAATAATGTTATTTTTTTTATATATTTATTTATTTATTTTTTTTTTTTAACTAAATTACTTCATTTGCACAGACAAGGAGCAAGGGAAATGTTTTTTCACGCCTACAACGCTTACATGAATAATGCATATCCCGCCGACGAACTTATGCCATTGAGTTGTAAGGGTAGATACAGAGGATCGGAGCCAGATCGAGGAGATATGGATTCCACTCTTGGAAAGTAAGTGTGACATTAGATAGAGCCACTAGATTATTACAATTAAAAACATGTTTAATCGTGTGTTTTAGTTTTTCTCTAACGTTGGTGGATACTCTTGATACTCTTGTGGTGAGCATTGAATGCTGTTAACAAAATTGTTAAAAGCGCTTTACAAAATTGTACATTTTTCCATTTTATTCCAGGTGATGGGTAATTTAGGAGAATTTGAAAAAGCTGTGAAACTTGTTATAAGAGATATTACATTTGATACAGATGTTATTGTTTCTTTATTTGAAACAAATATTAGAATGCTTGGGTATGTCAGTTTATCTAATTTTTCGATTCGTGTTTTGCTTAGAAATTTTTTCTTTAATTACAATTTTAGAGGTTTGCTGAGTGCGCATATTCTAGCTGATTTTATACAACAAAAAGAAATCGCGATGCCGTGGTACAGAGGTGAATTATTGACTTTAGCCAAAGATTTAGGATACAGATTCCTACCTGCATTTAATACAACAACCGGGATACCTTTTGGAAGGGTAAATTACGTTTTAAAACTTCACCAAGTAATAGTACATCTTTTATAATTTTCATTTCAAATATTCAACTATATATTTAATCACAGATAAACTTGAAATATGGCATGAAAGGAGTACCATTAGAAATGACCAGGGAAACTTGTACAGCCTGTGCTGGTAGTATGATCTTAGAAATGGCTGCCTTGTCAAGGTTAACAGGAGAAGCAATGTTTGAGGTAACTGTCTAAATAATTAATTTAAAAAAAAAAAAATAAATAAAATAAAATAAAACGTGACAACATCTCTAAATTAATTGTATTTGCAGGAGAAAGCTCAAAAAGCCATGGATGTTTTATGGAAATTGAGACACAGAGGAACCGATTTAATGGGTTCAGTATTAAATGTGAATACCGGAGATTGGGTTCGAAGAGATTCAGGGGTTGGAGCTGGCATTGATTCCTATTACGAGTATTGTTTGAAGGCTTACATTCTTCTTGGTATGTCGAATTTGTCTTATTAACAACATTGTTTTAATGTAATTCATAATACGAGCAAATTGTTATAAAGGTGATGAAAAATACTTGGGAAGATTTAATAAGCATTACGAAGCTATAATGAAATACATTAGTCAAGGACCAATGTTGTTGGACGTCCACATGCATAGGCCAAATACAAATTCGAAAAATTTTATGGATGCTCTATTAGCTTTTTGGCCGGGACTGCAAGTAAGTTGTTCTTATAATATATATTTTTCGCAACTTACAAAAGTTGATTAAAAAAATGTTTTTACAATTCAAGGTGTTGAAAGGTGATATTAAACCAGCTGTTGAAACACACGAGATGCTATATCAAGTCATGCAAAGGCATAATTTTATTCCGGAAGCATTTACTACCGACTTTCAGGTAATTGACATTAAATACTCTACATATCTAAAAAAGATCCTACTCGAAATGTAAAATGTATAAAATAATAGGTACACTGGGGCCATCATCCTTTAAGACCCGAGTTCTTGGAGTCAACGTATTTTTTGTATAAAGCCACTGGAGATCATTACTATTTGGGAGTTGGTCGGAAAGTATTAAAGAGCCTTCAAACATATGCCAGGGTACCATGTGGTTTTGCTGCAGTGTCTGATGTCAGAACTAACAAGCATGACGATACCATGGACAGTTTTGTACTCTCCGAAACTTTCAAATATTTATTTTTATTATTCGCCGATCCGAGCGATTTAATACTGAATTTGGATGAATATGTCTTCACCACCGAGGGCCATTTGCTACCACTGTCCCTAGCATCAGTCAGGACCAATGTCACGATGGTAACTATTTTACAGCAGCTGCATTATAAAAAAAAAAAAAAAAAAAAATGCAAAATTTCAAATGAACAATGTTGCAGGAAATCGAAAGAGAAAAAGTATACGTAAAGGAAATTGACAGGACGTGTCCAAACAGTTTGCATCTATTCCCTGCCTCAGTGAGACAACCACTGCGCAATATGGTCGAGGACGTGTGTCCTAAGCGTGACTCAAAGAAAAGACTGAGCGCAATCCACTTCCAGCCCAATAACAGCGAGCACGTGAAATTATTAAACGACATGGGCATAGTGATTTTGATAGCTGGTGATGGAAGTATAAAATTTCTTCAGACTCTTTCAAGTGCGAAATCACCTCAGGATGCGGAGGAAGGACAAATGTTTATGCAAGAGATTCTTGAACTCAACAAGCATGTGCCATTGGAAACTCATCCGATCCTAGTTAACTTTGTCAATCCAAACATTCAGCCACCACAGAAAATTTCTCTTCTTGGTGGTCCAGCGCAATTTGGTGCTGACATGAAAAATCACAGAGTAACAGGCAAAGTTGTCATTGCTAATCCATCTTTGGCTTGCGATAAACTTGATAATGATGATCAATTGAACGGTATGATTGCTGTCATTGATAGAGGCGATTGCCAATTTATTGACAAGGTATGTTTTCATAGTATAAACTTCAATCATAAAAAAACACTTGATTTTGATTTAACTAGTCATTAAAAACTGGCATTTTAGGCTCGAAACATACAAAAAGCTGGTGCTATAGCTGGAATTGTACTAGATAACATACCAACAACGAGCTATGAAAAATCAATTTTATTCGCAATGTCGTCAGATGGTAAATCAATCAATGACGTTACGATTCCTTTTGTATTTTTATTTGGTGTTGAAGCTAGTCAATTAGTGCAAGCCATAATATCAACTCAAGGCGCCTTAACAGTCACTATAAGTAAGCATTTATTTTTCATTTTAAATTAATTCATTCATTTTCATTATGAATAATAATTTACCATAAAAAATCTTGTTATTTACAGGTGGCGTGGTTCTCAAAGATCATAGGAAAGAAACGCAGCTAAAAGCTCCTACCGATTTGTCAATAATTGACTTGTTAAAAAGCACATTTAAACAAATTTTGACGCGACAGACTTCACAGGTTTGTATGGTTTGGTGCCTAATTGTTATTTTTGTAGAAGGTTTGACTTTTTGGATAGTATCTATTTTAAAAAGATCGTAGCTTTTATCATTTATAGCATAGACATTGTGTTTATTTTAAAATTCCCTTGTAAATTACGAAATGTAAATATCAATATATCAATACGAGCTGTGTGAAAATTTTTTGCTTGTATTGTTATAGTAGCTTTAATTATCTGTAAACACAAACATCATTTATACCCGAATGTCATGAAGCAAGTTTGAAAAGCAGACGAGAGCTGGGGCGACCGCGCAGCTATTTATTTCCACTTATGTTGTGTATCTACAACAAAAATTGTAATGCTAAATACGTGTTATTCCGAGATTACACAATTTGTGAATTTTGCATGAAAATTGTGTTTTTTATTTGAGTTTCCACAAGCAAGTTAATTAAGCTTTTTGCGTGCAGCACTGTTTGTTCCGTTTTTAAACGAATAAGAATGAAATACAAACGAAGTGATCATTATTTTGTATTTTTTTTCCCCCTGTAGAATTTATCATCAAGCCCAAGTGCGGCCAATGTACCTGCTGTAAGTTCAACGCTTGATGAAGATACAATTAAAACACTTACGATAAGCTACGCTTATTTGCAAGCTCAAATTAAGATGAACGAAGTAAAGATCAATCTCAGTGCCAAAAAACTCGATACGTTTTTTGAAACCCCAAAAAATAGGTTTGCCAACGAATCGAGCTGGATGTTGATAAAAAAAATGCTGGTTAACGAACTCTTTGGAACAGTCAAGCTTAATCTGGGTTTTTCGATACAAAGTTCAGGCATTTACAGGTTTTATTCCATAGTGATAAGTAAGCGGGGCGTTGACGAGGAGACGATCAGAAATACGCCAATGTCCAAAAAAATTCATTGGTTTTTAAAAGAACTAAGTGAAGTCAGCCCTGATGCTAGTATAGTTACCCTTTACCAAGACTTGTTTCCAAATATACAACAGCAGTATTTTTTGGGGTATTTATTTAGAATATCGGCATTGAATGTAAAAAGATACATCGTTAATGAGATAGTTAAGGAAATCAAGGACTTCAACAAATCATCTGTGGAATCTCTGATAAACTCTATCATTAATCAAACTCATAAAATACAGTCAGCCGAGTTTGAAAAGTTTATGAAAAAATATGTACCCATTATCATTAATTATATTGCGTTACACAGCCTAGAATTGTTGGATAAACCACAAAAAGGAAATTTTGACGAAGATATATTTTCCGTTCACGAATTCGTAAATATAAATCAAGACTTAATTATCAACGTTGATCCTGCTAAAATCTTCAATGATAACGAGTCTGCATTGAAAAAGAAAACAGCGGAACTTGATAATAAAAAAGAAGGCGTGATACGACTTGAATTAGCGTCGCAGTTTAACGAAATTTTTGAAGATTTAAAGGGTTCAGTTGAAGCTCACGAGAAAAAAGAGGATGAAAGCCACAAATCAGACAAAAAATCAGTGCCTATTAAAGACGTCAAAGACTCGAAACATTTAAATCCTGTTTTAAATACTGTACCTCTAAAACAGGAGCTAAATGTTGTTAAAGATTCTGCTAGTGATGGTAACGATAAACACGATAAAAATCATATTCACGATGATTTATAGCGATAACGTTACTTTTACAGTAGTTATATCATTAAAATTGACTCTAATTGCTATTCTTCTTCAGATGTACTAGCTAAAAAAATTTTTACACCATCAAATGTTAATAAACAATTGTTTCAATATGTTTCTTCTTAATAATGTTTTTCAGTATGACCACATGATTATGTGTTACAGAAAGTGATTTGATTATTTTTTAATGTATTATGATTAAAATGCGATCACATCAGGGATACAAAAAAGTACACTTTGCTGCTTTTTTACATTCTTACAGAATTTTTTCCTGAGCAACATCGATAAACAATTTATTTGTAAGGACTTGTAAAATAAATCAATGTAAAGACAAGATAGATTCGTTTAGAATATGTGTAGATGGAAACTGTTATGTTGAGAATAACATTACTACTAGATTTAATTGTAAATAACTGTAGTGTGATGTTACTAAATAAAAGTTTTGTACAGTTATTTTTGTAAGCTCTAAAATTTTTAAATATTTTATTTCAAACTGTTATTTTGATCAATAATATTTATTTCGAATCATTCAAAAAAAAATAAAGCGACATTAACATAACATTAATTGAATGAACATAATTTGTGGGGAGTGTTTCACATTTGCCAAACAATGTGTTTATATATGTATATGTAATAACCGCTTCATTGTATAAAACGACTTATTGTACATAAAATGTTTGACAGATTTTTCATTGTAAAAATCTGCCAAGTACATTGTTGTAAGGCATTTTACTATGAAAGAATATTAAATGCTGTGAAATAAAGTCTGTTATGTAAATTCAATAAATTAAAGTGTGGATTTATTGAAAAATACATTAAATCATTAAATATATTTCCTATTATGAAGTTAGAGTTTTTAAAAAAAAAATCAATACTTAGTTTTAATTTGTGTAAAATAGAGTTTGTATTAATTTACAAAAGAGATAGTTATGCTATTTACGATGCACTTCTCGGTTTCAGATCTTCGAAACAAGATTTAAGAAAAATGTAATTTTTTTTCATCGGATTATAGTATTCGTGACCCTAAAAGTAATAATAATTAGTAAGAAGGAACATGCATTACGAATTTTGAAAGAAATTAGTTGAAGTACCTTTGACCAATCATAAGAGACGGCGTATGCGAAAATCTGACCATTATGATTAAAACAGCAACGCGTAATAGGTTGTTCCATTGGCTCCGAGGGCTTAAGTTTGGTGCGAGCGTCTTTATCCCAAAAACTGAATGTTCCATCACTACCAACAGTTGCTAAAGTTCCATGAACTGGATGAAACGCTATATCATTCACCTATGAAACAAAGTTAATTCTAGTAATTTTGCGTCACGAGTATGAAAAATATTAATAAAAACTATAAATACAGCATAAATATCCTGAAATCCACCCTGTGCTCCATTTGATCTGTGGCATTTAAATGTAAAATTGTCTTTGGGATTGATCGGATTGACATATTGAATGGCAACACGACCCTCTACACTGCCCAAAGCATATCCAGTGGGAGCTTTCTTTTTATCCCTAAATATGGCAACACATCTGTGTTGATATTTTAAAGGGGACTCGATCCTTTTGAATTCAGCTGGCTGTCCTTCCAACTGATACACTAATAACCATCTTCCAGCTGTTCCTACAACCGCCATTGGATAATCAACATCTGCACAGTAACATCTTTCAGGTAAATTAAACGTGAGCATGGGAGTTGGCGTTCTGAGATCCCAAAACTTGAAAATGAGAAAACATTGAAAATTCACGTAAGTACGTAACTCGATATTTTTTACAAATATTTTCAATGCATAACATACAATACCTTTAAAGTTTTGTCCCATGAACCAGTCATCAAACATGAATAATTTGAACCTTTAATCCAATGGCAAGTTCTCACAGGAGCATCATGAGCAGCTACCTGGATTGATTGATTAGAAGCCAAATCCCAACATTTGACCATTTTATCACAAGACGCCATAAATACTTTAGTGCCATCCTAAAACAAGTATTTGACAATTTTTTTTTTTTTTTATTAAATTTTGATGTGACATTTATGGCAAATATAAACGATCTAAAACTGACATCACTCCAACAAACATCTTGGATAGGTCCTGTCATACTCTGCATAGATTTGGGAACAGTTTTTCCGGTTTGCTCGACTTCCCAGCACCTGACATTGCAATCCCAAGAGCCAGCAACAAGAAAATTTTGAGATAAGGCTGCTGGACTAAATGCCAAACTTGATATCGAATCCTCAGGTGGGGATACCACTTCGAAATCATTCATAGGATTTGCAGTCGACTTAGGTGTAGTTAGAGCGGCGTTTTGATTGAACATTTTGTCAAGGTGTTTTAAATCTGTAAAAATACAAATTAAGAAGATAATTATGACTTGGACGTTTGTCCAAGAGGTTATTCTACAGCATTAGGTAGTCATAAGGATGCAATCGCAACGGTTGTGATGCCAAGGATTTCCATTTATTGTACAAAAAACGAAAATAAACGTATAATATTTTTATAGGTTAGATTAGACGTGCGCAATAAGGATTTAGATTCTAGAGGCAGCAGCAAAATCAGTACAGTGTTTTCCGGGTATTAATTATATATTATCAATAATAAAAACAACATTCTGTTCGACTTTTTGGCTCTGATTATCAAAATAATGAATAAGGATTTCAAAATATGAAAAAAATACTGCGTACCTATGCATGTTAATACGATGTTAAGGATACAATTTTCTTAAGCTTAAAAAAATTAGCCTAATCTAATTTATACTTACTTGCACAGCTAAAACAAACTGATATTCTTACATTGGCTTTTGAAACTTTTACAAATAATTCTCGTTCCAATTTTCTTGATACCGGGCTATTACTTAATTCTTATGTACAAACTTCGTCTTCTCCTGTATTAAGTGTATACTTATTTATTTTTCTGAATCTGAATAGCAGAAGAGCGCAGCATCAGAATCATCTGAACAACAGCCGCATTATATTATATATATATATATATTTTCACATGATTGATCCTTGAAAGACGCAGGTTTCTGCGTAGTTTTTATTATTATGGTTTCTGCGCGACCTGCGTGACTGCATATGCGTAAGTGCGTAGTGCGTAGTTTCCATAGACATATAAGAAATATAGACTTGCTCGTTTCTTATGTAAGTATACACGGCGCTGAAGCGCAAGCATCGATGTGTTGTCTCCTTCTACTTGGTGCTTCCGCGCCGTGTATATGTACACTCACCGTACCTTGATTCGCAAACCGCGAAGTTTGAATTCTTGAAGTAATTTATCGTATTAAAACACGAGGAACAACTATAACCATAAAATAAAAATATAATGATAAACAACTATCATATTAACAACTATTGAACAATGTTAAAATCATATTTTATGTTTATTTGTCATAAAAAAATTTAAGACTTTAAACTTCGCGGTTTGCGAATCAAGGTACGGCGAGTGTACATATATAAGAACGAGCACTCTGTATTTCTTATATGTCTATGGTAGTTTCTGCATCATCATCGTGCCTTTTTTTTGAAAACAAAAAAATTCTTTTTATTTCGAAATCTGCGACGAGAGATGAAGTTAATAATTGAAATATTAATTTTTTCCAAACTGTTAATTGTAGACTTTATGCTGTATACTTAGCTGTAGAGAATTATATAGATTTGTTCGGGATTCAGCTTGGAGTAGCCCGGAGTGCTCCTCTATAGTCAATGTAATAGATTCAATACATTGACTATAGAAAAAGGGAGCGCTCCGAGCTGCTCCAAGCTTAATCCCGAACAAATCTTATGTTTCTCTGGCTAAAGGCTAAAGTAGTGTCAACAAGAGTCGGCACGGCACGCTACAATTTGAAGTTTAAAGGCTGGCGAGTAAAAGTTACTTAAAATTTTCAGGCTGTCATCAGTCAAAATTTTTTTCTCTGAGATTTCAAGACTTTCAAGGAATCTGGTCTTTTACACAAGAAGTTTTATTCTATATATTATCTGGTTCCACACCTCAAAACTGCCAAGATGGATCAAATGCTTCCAAGTCCTGGCTTCAGCATACCAAGTATTGGGACACCACTACATCAGCCAGATGAAGATCAACAAATTTTGCCCAATGCTCTCCAACAGCAGCAAGAATCGCAGCAACAACAACAACAACAACAGCAATTTGGAATGCATTCACAAATGGGCATGAATCCAATGTCTGCCCTGATGCAGACTCCACAAAGGTCCATGCACACGTATGCCATGAATCAACCATTTGCCACACCACATAATTTGATGCAGCCTCAAACTCCAGTAATTTTCTTAGTCTTTAAAGCATAATGGGTATGGCATTTAGGTTTTAAGATTATTTAAGTATCATAAATTTTCAGCAAAACCTCATGTCCCCTCTCATACCGCCTTCAAGTCAAATGGCCCCTTCAATGGGACCATCCACTCCAGGACCCATGACACCAATGACTCCAGCTTCGGCAGACCCGGGTATTTTACCTCAATTACAGTAAGTTTTCAAGGTGCTATATTTTATTTTATGATCGTACGTTTCTATAGTTGCTCTAATTATGTCTTTCAGGAATATTGTTTCCACAGTTAACTTAAATTGTAAGTTGGATTTAAAGAAAATAGCCCTACACGCGAGAAATGCGGAATATAATCCAAAACGTTTCGCTGCTGTGATTATGAGAATAAGAGAACCTAGAACGACAGCTCTTATATTTAGCAGTGGTAAAATGGTATGTACAGGAGCCAAAAGTGAGGAAGACTCTCGTCTTGCAGCACGAAAATATGCAAGAATCATCCAGAAACTAGGATTTCCGGTAATATATTTTTCACTCAAATTGTACTGTTGACTTGCACTATGCAATGAAAAATTTTTAAAACTCTTTTGCCCAGGCTAAGTTCCTCGACTTCAAAGTTCAAAATATGGTTGGCAGCTGCGATGTAAAGTTTCCAATCAGGTTAGAAGGTTTAGTCCTCACGCATGGTCAGTTCTCATCATATGAACCAGAATTGTTTCCTGGTCTCATTTACAGAATGGTTAAACCTCGAATTGTGTTGTTAATTTTTGTTTCTGGGAAAGTTGTACTCACAGGTAAATATTTATCATTATTTTTGTAGGTAAATTTGTACAGATTTTCATGAATATTTCTAATTTTGTTTTAGGAGCCAAAGTGCGCCAAGAGATATACGAGGCATTTGATAATATTTATCCCATACTGAAAAGTTTTAAGAAACAGTAAAATAATCTTTTCTACAGCGGTTTTGTGTGGAAGAGATTTTGTTGGACACTTCACTTTAACTTCAATCATGAAGCTTTAGGCAGCAGAGCGACAAGTGCTGGTATTCTTGAATGTGAGTTGACTTGGTGTATAATATAGAATAAAAAATATTTTTATACAGTGCTAGTTCTTCTTAGAAAAATCAAATTTTTAATCTTAAATAAATAGCTTGCTAGTCTTTTTTAAAAAAATGTGTGAATTGATAAAACAATGCAGACGCACTTTTACTGTGTTAAAGTAAGTTTCTTAAGATTAGGGTGATATATTTTTACTTGTTACGATTACACAGAGCAACAAATGATTGAAAAAAAATGTGTCTTCTGTGTAAAACTTTCGGTAAAGTTTTCTGGCTAGATATTTAAAAAAAACGAATTAGTTTTAATCCCAACTCTTGTGTTTCTTCACATTACACTATAGTTTTTAAGGAGTGCTGTGGATTTCTTAGCATTTACTTAAAAACTATTACATTATTCATAAATTTTGTACAGCGCTCGTTACTATTAGAAATATTTAAAGTTTCTAGGTTAATTTGATAAATTGTTACTAAAAAAGAGAAATAACTTCACAGCAGATATTTTCAATGATTGTATCATAACTTAGCACTCAGTTTCTTGCTGAAAAAAAAAAAAAATAAATTGAAATAAATTTTTTATAAATAGTTAGAAAAACAATGTTACTTACTGAAGACCCTGGACCATCGATGCACTTCATGATTTCCATCAACGAGTGCTTTATATGTTCCCGCAGAGTTGTTTTTACTTCGTAGCTGGTATTCGGTAATTTTCTCAAGGTATACTTCAAGGCAGAAGCCACCTCTCCGCTCGTTTTCAAATTCTTCACTATCGTCAGTGCTATACTTCCAGTTTCGTCTTTAATGCCCACACTGGAAAACAATTCTCTCAATCTACCGTAAGTTTCGGGATTGATTTCCTCGGCAAACGAAATATCATTTGTCTTTTCATCGTACCTAAGAACATGTTTTACATTGAACCAACTCCTTGGTAATATTTAAACAAAATAGAAAAATCATACTGGTGAATTATGTCAGCGAGACTCTCGCTGCTAAACAGGTTGTCAATTTGAGACGATTCTTGCTCTTCATCCGACATGTGCATGATCTCGCTGATATTTTTTTTAATCTCCTCTTCGCAGCAGCCGGCCCGTTTCAGTTTGCCAATGACTTCTCTCAACATTTTTTCCACCGTTTCCTTGGTATTGACATCGTCCACGGCTGTGATTTGCGACAACAGGTGCCGTATCTACGAAATCAATCGCGCACAATGGAACACACGACTTTTTACGCTTAAAAAAACATCTAGCCCAGCGCAACTTACAGCTATGACTTTTTTAAAGTGTTCACAGTCGTCGACGGTGATTTCTTTGTCTTCGAAACTCGCTGGCTTCGATTCGTCCACTTTCCCCGCACTTTTCGGCCCAGATCCCGTTGGCTTGTCCGGCTTTTTGCGTTCAGTAACCTCCGGTTGCAAACACTTTGTTTTGAGGCTCAGAGATCTTATGTCCCTGGAAATGCTCTCCTTCTGCTTCTCTTGGTTCTTCAGCATGGCCTTGAGTTTGCTCAGATCCGACTTGTATTGCGATTCTATTTTGCTTATCTCTTCCTGCAAAAAGTTTGTCGTCAACAATTGTGCGTGCGTGTGTTTTTTTATTCTAATCAAGCGCATGTAGGTACGTACCTCGGGTATGATTTTGAGTTTTTGCATCTTGTGCAGCTTGAAGAGCTCCTCCTCCAAAACCGTGAGAAAACTCAGCTTCTCCGTATTGTCTTGAATCAAATCCTTGAGCACCTGGAGTTGCTCCTTGTACTCCTTCCTGATAACTATTTCAAACGAGTGAAAAAAACCCCGATTCAACGACAAGCCGAGAAACGGTGCAAAACCAACCTTTGATCTTGTCGTCGTAAAACTTCATCAGCGAGCTCGTATTGGCCTTGATGTTGTGGATCAACCTCTTGAGCACCGCCTCGTACAGTGAGACGAGGGACACTTGCTGGCCAAACTTTTGCTCCATCTCCCTCTGTGTCTGCTCCTTCAGAGCTTCCAGCTCCTTCCTCATGGACTCGCAATCTACCTTGATCTTGCGGAGGTGCCCTTTGTCGTTCCTTCAACCAAAGTGACGACCAAGCTCTCAAAAAGCTCCCTCCAATGCGCTATATAAATGTACAGCTCACCTGTGCTTCTCCTGCAGCTCCCTCGTATCCTGCTCCAGTTCGCCGACCCTCGCGTAGAGCCGAGAGAGCCGATCCTTGTCGAAGACTATGCAGTTTTGAATGCTCTCCGGCTTGTCAGCCTCGCCGGTGAACAGCTGCAGTTGGTCGAGCTTCATGATAACCGTGACGTCGATGTCGTTGAGCTGTTTTTGTTTTTCCCGCTGCAACGATGGAAAACAGCACGTATGATAAGCGATAAGAGAATGCATTAAAAGTAAACGAGTACGCGTCGAACGAACGCACCAGGAGGGCCTGCAATTGGGCGCGATCGGCCTTTAGCTCGATCTCCGTGGTCTCGATCCTATTGCGCTGAGCATCAAGCTCCTCCTGCAGCAGCTCCGCACTGCGCCACTCGTCCTGTATCCGGTGCTCCTCCGCGTATCTATATCATACAAATGATTAACAACCAGAAAAAAAAAAAAAAAAAAAAAACTGAAATTGTAAAATCTTCGTTAATAGCGTGAGTAAAGTATACCGAGTCTCGCGCACCGCAAACGCCTCGTCGTAGATCTCGCGCTCGAGATCGTCCGGGCACTCGGTCTCTGTCATGTGTAGTAGCGCGACCCTCTCGCTGTCGAAATCACTCGAGCTCGAGTACCTTGGGTCGTTCGGGTCGTCTTCGGAGCTACTGCTGCTGCTGCTGCTGCTGCTGCTGTTATTCTCGAACGAAAAGGATGAGGCTATACCCGGAAAAGGACGCTCCGGTGAAGTGATTCTTTTTTTTTTTTTTTTCTTTTTACAGACGTAAAAACAATATTATAAATGTACCATCGTCGTCGTGGTCGTCGTGGGGTTTTGGAGCGCTGTACTTTTTCTTGCAGATTTTCTTGAGGAAAACGTAGTACTTGTGCCCGGCGATGGAGTTTAGGTAGCGCGCCGTGTTCTCCTTGATTTTTTCCCGCAGCCTCGCCACGGAGTTTTTCTTCTCCTCAACTTTCCTCGCTAGTTTTTCGATCTAACAAACAACAACACGACCTTTTTCAGCAAAAGCAAACAACGACGGAGGGAGAAGAAAGGGGAAGCTCGCCTTCTTCGCCACGAGGGTCCTGGTCTTGACTTGATCGTCGACCTTTCTCGAGAACTCCTTCTCCATGCCCTCGAACTTTTTCAGGACAATGAGCTCCTGGTGCATCGTCAGCAGGTGCAGGTCCATGTAGACGCTCTCGTAAACGATGTCGAGCCGCTCACCCTCGAGGCGCCCGAGCTCCTCGTCGAAGGCCTCGTAGCTCCGGCTTATGTGGCTCAGGATCTCGTCCTGCTCGTGGATCTTCCGCGCCATGCGCGCCCGCTTCATCTCGCGCTCTGCCATTGAAATTTCATGCGTATAAATCAACTCCACGTGATATAGGTGGAACGACCGACACGGTACCTAACTTGCTGTCACTCTTGTCGGGCAGTTGCAGCGCGGCTATAAGCTCCAGCGGCACGACGCACGGGATCACCTGCACCTGTTGCTTCTCGTCCAAGGCAAAAACGGAGTTTCCCCCGCCGTCTCCAGGACCACCGCAGCACTCGTTCGGCCGAAAGCGCGCCTCGTCCATCAGCAGGATCTCGTACTCCTCGTCCGAATCGTCGACCGTCATTTGCGTCGTGATGGACGACAGCCGCCTCTTCTTTGACTTTTTGATGCGCTCCGACGTCGGGACGTACGACTCGAGCTTACGTGCGCATCATCAGAGGCTCGTTGGTTGTGTATAATCTCAAGCGAGAAAGATGTCGATTGGCGACCAACCTCGAGATTTTTTTCAGGAAACTCCTCGTCGTGATCGATGGCGGGTGGTTTCGGCAGCGCCTTCGCCTGTTCCTCGGGTATCTCGTCGTGGATTTTTTTCAACCGCTTGAGCAACAGGTCGACTTCCACCTGCAGCTCGACCTTCCTCGCCCGTAGCTCTCGGAGCTTGGTGTTAAAGTCCTCGCGGCGGAAGTGTATCTGAAACGACCGATCGGTCCAGCCACTCACTCTCTCGAATCGGCGCTTTTCTGTACATTCGTGCTCTCGTATATAGTTGGTTAACCTTTCGCCTGCAATCGACAATCTGTTTGTACTTGCTCTCGACGGTCGCTCGGTTCTCCGGGTCCACGTCCAGCAGGACCTTGAGCTTGTAGTCGCCCACGGTGCTCTTTGAGCGCTCGATCGCTTCCTTGTCCTCGGAATTCACGGCTTTCGGGTCGGGCTTTTCCGACTGCAGGGTTTTCCACTGAAACGCCAGGGAAATGGCTTTGCTTTTCACGCCCGTGTACCTTACATACATATATCTTACCTCCTGCTCCTGCTCTTCGAGCTTGCCCTTGAGGGATCGGTATTTTTTCAAGAGCTGGTTTATCTCGTCGCCCAAGTGGAACTGGATCGTTTCCGGGCTCAGGCCCTTCAGAAAACTCTCCATCCCGGGAACCGGCGCCCCAGCCTCGCGGTCGCTGCCGCCCGAGCCTAATGTGCTGGCGGTCCTTTTACAAAAGATTTGATACTTACTGTTATATTTTACCGAGACTCGGAGGTGTTGATTTATTATTCAGGATGGAATAAAGACCTGGCGGAATCCAGGGTCAACAAACTCTGCTGATCGTTCGCTGGCGCGGCTGCAATTGGGAGCATTTTTTTTTTTTTTTTTTCAATCTCAAATTAGTAACGCGCTCATATTTCCATAGATGAACTTCTCACCGCCGTCCTGATGGTGCTCGTCGTTCCTCGAGCTGTCCGATTGGCCAACAGCATAGTCACCCGTCAGCTTCAGCTCCCTCAGAGAGTGAACCATAGAGCTCGGGTCCCTGCCGAAGATAAATGCCATTCAACGCTCCGTCGATCCTCCCAAAACAGCGCATCTTCTTACGATATCTTTTTCACCACGAAGGACAAACACGTGATCGGCTCGACAAAGTGGTCCATGAGCTTCTTCAGCCTCAGCTTGCTCTTTTCCAGATCGTGGGCCAACTTGTCGTGCACGAGCTCCATCTGCGCCTCTAGCTCGCGGTCCAGGTCCACCGTGATCCTCTGGTCCAGCTCTAGCTCGTCGTCGGTGAGCCTCTGCGACTGCGGCAAACTACCGTTCCTGAAACCCCAGGGAAACATACGCGAGATATCGTGACAAACAAATCGTATGTATATAGTTTTTACCTCTTCAAAATCGAGTTGAACTCTTCGGTCAATTCGCGCAGTACTGCCAGGGTGTGCTCCTTGTCTTCCTTGGCGTTGCGCATGACTCTGTCCCGCTCGGCCTGCACGATGACCTCCTCCAAACTCGGATGATCCAGATCCTCGATATCCGGTACATCGGCCGTGGACTACATCGACGAGACGTCGCTTTCCCCGCGTCGTTATATTTTCGTTTGTTGATATTTTTTCCCCCATCCCCGATCAAACAAACAAACAAAAACGCTTACGACAGCGACGTCAACTTCCACGCGGACACGGGCGGTTCGTCTACCCGAGTCGTCGTTGACGGCAAACGAGAAGATGCTGCCGTCGTAGCCGCAAGTCAAAAGCACGTTGCCCTCGCAGCCCAAGCGCATGCTGGACACGTGGCCGTTGTCGTTGTCGTGCATCGGCAGTAGCCAATAGTCGGAAAAGTCCGCTTCCTCGCGCGGGTTCGTCCGACACACCCGGATCTCACCGCGTTCCATTCCCAGGACTATGTACTTTCGCTCGCTCCTGAAACGCTTGTCGTGCATGAAATATATATATATACATTTTCACCGCCCGTAGATGAACACGTACGTACAAGAACAGAAAGCTGCGAATCTCCTGGTCGTCGCTGTCGACGACTAAATTACTGCCGACGAGCGCGGGCTGTTGATCGAGCTGGGGATTGGAGTACTCGTACGTATAGCCGGCGTCGTATCCGGCAATTGACAGCAGCAGAGTGTCCCTCGTCGTGTAAAAGGCCGCCAGCACGCCGTTGGGCACTTCCGGCACGTAAATCTCCGGAAGCGGGGGCTCATCTTCCAGCTCGGATTCTGAAGATCGAACGAGTGCCACGCGCAGTGCTACGCATCATCCAACGATAAAGAGCAAAACAGCGCGTATACCGAAAAAAACGTCCTCGTCGAGCTCGAGGTTGGGATCCTTCTCCCTCATGGACGCCAACTCGGCCATCAGCTCGGCTATCCTCTCCTGCCTCCGTCTCTCGTTCGCCAAGCGAGCTTGTTCCCTCAGTATCGACGACTTCACGGACTCGAACTTGAACGCGATCGGCTCGCACTCGGTCAGCTCGTAAGAAATCGTCGTGTACGCTTGGACTTCTTCTGGGAGGTCCGCTTGCACGCAGTCTCCCCTCGAGCACCCGACCAGCACCGTTGACTTCTACAAAACCACATGTGTCTCTTGGAACGGGAAAAAAAACAAAAGCATTGGCCGCGAATCTCACGGTCTGTGGCTTCCAGGTGACAAAAGTGACGCCCGACGGGAGCCTCAGGTAGCCGATCGGCACCAGAACCGGGTACGACTTCTCCTGCCTCTCGATTCGAAACACGAACACGGTCATATCCTCGCTCCCCGTCACCAATACACTGAAACACACGACAAAAGTACGTTTACGTGGGTGGGCCCATATACCGATTGGCAAAAGCACCCTTGACACGTACGTGTTGGACGGGTTGGTCGAGACGCGAGTGACGCTCTTCACGTGCGGCTTCAGAACTTGGATCAACCTCGGGGTCGTGGCCTTTGTCGGATCAACGATCACCACGCGAAGGACTCCGGTGCCGAAGGCACAGACGAGCGTCGAGCCACTCGGTTCGACCTGCAAAAGTAGCCCCCCCGTTCAAACGATCGGTCCAAGGATCGGCAATCCGTATGTGTATATACCGAACACGGGAGCCAGAGGAGGCAGGAGCCGGGATCGAGGAACCGGTGGGCGAGCAGCAGCCTCTTCTCGAGGTAGTCGTAGACGTGCAGCCGGCCGTCCTGGCCTATGGTCGCGGCGTATGGTCCCCAATCGGCAGCGTCCATGTCCATGATAGGTCCCGCGTGGCATCTCAGGAGCTTTTTGGGGGCCTCGGGGGTCCGCATGGTCGACAGGTCGACCAGCCACAGGCCCCCGTTGCCGTCCTGAGCGTACCACAGAGCGTCATCGGGATCGGCGGGCTCTCGCTTTAGTATCTGCATGAGCATCGCCGTGTCCTCGCCCTCCTCTACCACGACCTCGTAGATCGGTTCGACCTCGAGGTAGTGGTTGTCCTCCGACTGCTCCGCCAGATCGATCGTCTCGTAGTACCAAAAGTTTATACGGCCGTCGGTGCCTGATGTTGCAATTGATCAGTACACATTTGAACACGTTGCAATGAAAACACCGATTTTCATACCAATGGAAACAAGCTCGTCGCTGATGTATTCGAATTGGGACACGTAGCCCGCGTGGCAGGGCCTGTTCTGTTTCCTGCGCACCTCGATCTTTATCAATCCCTCGTCCCACACGAGTATGTTGCCCCACTCGCAGCCCGAAATGACCTGCGCAACGATCGGCAAAACGACTACTGTTTGAAGTACTGTGAAAGGAGCCTTTTTTTTTTTTTTATACCTTCTCGTCGGGCATCGGATACACGCCCACGATATCCGAGATCTCGGTTTTGCCGAACCGGCCGAGCTCCCCCTGTAGCTTCAGGCCCGTGAACGTACCGGACATTTTCCAGGTCTTGATGTGCCCCGAGCCGCACGAGGTCATGTGGCCCGGCATCGTCGGCGAGAACACCACGTTGTACACGTCCTGTCCGTGGGACTTGCACTGCAGGGCCACCTTCGACGACCGCCAGTTCCATATGGTTATCAGGTAGTCCGGCTCGCCACCCTGGGTCACCAGTTGCTCGCCGTCCGGGCTGAGAATCGACCGTTTTTCTCATATACTTTTGAGCATGCGAGGCGCGAAGGATGATCGTGCGAATGATTTTTATATATGTATGCATATGTGCAACGCAGACCGGTTATTTCGACGCCGGTGCGTAATAATGTGACGCGTGGTAGGGAAGGATGCGCATAATGAGGCCCAATGTGTTTTACCTGTAACGCAAGTGAGAATAAGAACGGGTGGTGCCGCCGAGCAAGACGCTCACGATTTCCATGCCAGGCCACTCGTATATAATTACAGGAGGATCTATTCCGTTCTCACCGATGGCGATGTGATTGAACGCCGGATTTTTCTGCGCGCGGTTCGAGAACGTTATACTCGGCTGCACTTGGGAATTTCTCTCTTTTTTTTTTTTTTTTTTTTTTTTTCATACTTACGGTGATGTGGCCGATACCACCGCCGGTGGAAGAGCGTCGGAATGTGAGTTTATTTTCCGGCACGTCGAGGAAGTGTATCAAATTGCCGGATGCGAAAATGAGAGTGTCGGGATCGGCCGCGCAGAGGTTGAAGCGCTTTCGACAGTCGTAGCCAAACGAGTGGCTTTTATAATTTTGCTAAGGCTGATTTTACGTTTATTTTCTACATACGAATATTTCGACGTTTTTTTTTTTTTTTTAAGGATACTCGAATTCCAGTATGTTCTGAGGAACCGTCCCGTGCTCGGAAAGCCTGGGCTGCGATACGAAATCTTCCGTGTTGTAAGTAATCGGCTCTGGGATGGAACCACCGCTTGACGATTCTGCCTCTTCTCCTGAACCATACTCGCTGTACGCATCCGACTCGTTTCCTTAAATTTACGATTATTTTTTTTTTCCCATCGTTTATCATTGTTTGTTGATTATAATAATTTCGTGGTTTACCTATGTCGTCCATTTTCTTCACACTTATACTGTAAATTAACCTGCCGGTTTTAATACCAGTCGAACACTTGCGAGTAAAAGCCGTTTCTAGGGAAACGATGATATTTTGTTACATCGATGTGACACACATGCCCAAGTATATATGTATACGTTAATGATAAGACCGATACGACAATTAACTAATTTTATTAAAAATATTCCTTTTTATTTACAGTAAACTATAATTTTGGTACAACTGATGCTCACAAACGAGATGTTACTGTTGGTTGTCGTTATTGTTTTTCTTTTTTCATTTCGCTCAAAGTTTCCGCGATTTTTTGCTGGGCCAATGAAAATTCTTTAGTTGTAATATCTTGCAAACACCCGCTCACGTATTCCTCGTTTATGCGCTCGTAGGCCTCTGTAGCTGAAAAGGATGTAAAGAGAAACAAGTGTAGATGGGTACAACATAGTCACGTGACAAAAAAAAGTTTTTTTTTTTTAACCAAGTATGAAAGAACTTACTTCTGATTATTAAGTGACCAAAACATTCGCATGCTGCGATTATAAAATCTTCAGTGTTCTTGGCACCATAACTCGATGATCTTGCCCAAATGTAAATACGAACGTCGTCGTAGTTTTTTCTCTCTGGATCACTGGTCGATCTAGTTATGTAAATGTTGTGAGCAATTTTATTTTTTTGAAGGCAAGATATTACCGTGTAGGCATGAGAAACGTATTTATTGATATCCCGATCTTCAAATGACGACAACATTATGCAGAATCCTTTAGCAGGAAAGCCTTCTAAAATATACACCGAATCAATAAAACTTTGTACTGGCTGTGGAAATTTTTTTATGATTAATTTTTTTTTTTTTTTTTTTTAATTTAAATTTATCATACACATGTTTTTAACTTCTTCTAATACTTACAATCCACTCTAGTAACATTCTATGGTCCAAGTAATACAAATGCCAATGCAAATGATTGACTGATGCATTTGCACACAGACTATTGAATAATACCCTCATGTTTCTGTACAAAGTTTTTAATCAATTTTTGCTTAATAATTTGTGATAATTATTACTTAAAAATATATTACTTACATCGACTTACTCAATAAAATCACTTCTACAGCCTTTTGGAGACTATAAAGTGTCACATTTTGTGGCAAACCATTGAATCTTTGTGTCAAAAGTAAAGAGTGACTCCAAAGAATAGGACTAATATTTACAGCTATGACATCATTACCTTGTCCATCTCCAATGTCAAACAGTATTTCTTTCTGTGATATTTTAGTAAAATTAAATTTATTACAATCAAAGGGTTGCTCCATTGACATGATTTCTTCTGGTGTTCTTCTCATTGTTGCTCTTTGAGTGTTCAACTGAAAATAATACATTAGATAAACGTACATGAAATTTTATACCGAATAACTTGTGCACTACCATAACACAAACCAGAGCATAAAAACCATATTGTCCTTCAAGAACTTTGTACTGCTGAGATTTCACTGAGTAACGAAAGACGTTGTTTTGCTCAACTGCACTCCACTTTTCAATGAAAATCTTATCGAATTGAGACAGTTCATTCAAATCTTGAATTTGGTGATTAAAATTTCTCTCGTTGTATTTGTAATGTGTTATGTCACTCGTGTCCATAATTTATTTCGATGAAAATATTTAAAATAAAAAACGTATAACCTCGAAACAGAGTTTCTAGTGTATATATTTTACAACACTATTTCTTGCTTGTACAAACCAATTGCGATTGTATAAAACAAACGACAAACTAGATAATTTAATAATACTTTAAATCTAGTCGAAACATGAACTTGACATTAGATATTATGTAAACATTAACAACATTACTCGGTATTAGAGAGAGCCTATAGTCAATTTGAAAGGTACGTACTACGTTGTATAGGTACACAAAGTACAAGGTGTACCTACTTAAGTATCACACGTCATCTTATTGTGCGATTCTTGTAAGGATATAAAAATTAACATATTGATTCGAAAGGTCAAAGTAGCATGAAAAAAGTTTTTATTGTAAAATAATCTCTAAAATTGCATTATTTGACTCCAAAACGATTGAAAAAAAGTGATCACTTGTATTACAATATGTATATAAATGTCATATGACTTTATACATAAATATATCTTTTATATCATAATTTGTATAAAATATTTCAACAGTCTTCTTATTCTTACTTGCACTACAACAATAATTCGAACAAAAAGACCACTTATTTCTATTTCATCTCTTATTATACTCACAATTCGTTGTCACTACGTAAATGTAGTATGATATACAATTAATATCCAGGTACACGTTTGTCAACTTATTCATATTATATCGTATAATACTGGATATTTACACAATATCGTGTTATATTATCCGGTCATTACAATTTCAGAGTGTATGTAAAAATGAAACATAAAAATTCAATGTATGGTGTAAACGTTTTGATCTGCTCTATACAACCTTTGCCGATGTACGAAACAACATCAAAAATGCCACGTCAACGTTAAACTTTGCCTTGAAGAAAAAAAGAAAAAAAAATGTATATATTTTTTAACTTACAGTCAACGTATCTAAAATAATCTCACTGGGCTTGGAAAAGAAAAGGAAAAAAAAGAATGTCTATACAGTAGGAAACAAGCCGTAGAAGGGCATTTTCAATTGTCTCGAATTGGGGTTGAAAATATCGGAGTCTTGAACGGTCAACTGGTCCAGGACGTTCGTCAGCATCGACCCGTCGCCATTGGCTATCATAAATTGACAGGTCTGGGCATCGGCCAGCAACACCTCGTCCGAAATCGCGTCGTCGAGCTGTTTTTTATCCGCAAAAATGAGAATCTGAGAGGGTAGCTCGTCGACATCCTCGATTGGCTGCATCATCGTCGCGCAGTCGGGCACACCAACGGCACCGCCGATGCTCACTTGATTGTCCACAAAGGCACGCTCGTCCGGGGCAAGGTTGGCATCTTTCTTGGCTTCCACCGCGCTCTTGCACTTTTTTGCGTGAGCGTACAACGAGCCGGCGTTGTTGTACCGCTTGCCGCATGTCTTGCATGCGTACGGCCTCTGGCCCGTGTGGGTGTACACGTGCTCGTTCAACGAGGTCAACCTGCGAAACAGCTTCGAACATATTTGGCACTGGTACTTTGCCTCCCCCGTGTGCATGGTTATGTGCCGCGCCAAGGTGTTGGCCCTCGCGAAAGTCTTGCTGCAGTACTGGCAAACGTAGGGCTTTTCCCCGCTGTGCGTTCTCAGGTGGAGCTGTAGGTAGGTGCTCTTGGTGAAGGCCCTGCTGCATATGTTGCACACGTATGGCTTGACCCCCGTGTGGGTGCGCATGTGGGCAACCAGGGACCCGCTCTGGGCGAACACTTTGCTGCACACTTCGCACAAAAATTGCCTGCGCTGCACTTCTCGGACGCGGTTGTGCCTTTCCTCGTGATTGGCCAGCGACTGCGGCTGGGCGAACGCCTTGGGACAAATCGGACACTGGTACGGTCGAACCCTCTTCATCTGGAAGGAAAAAAAAAAAAAAAAAAACACACAAATCATTTGAATCACAATACAATGTGTATGCACAACCATACCATTCTCTTTCTGGCAGCAAAGTTGTTTTTCCCATCTGGTGGGAGCTCGTTGTCGCGCGATTTGCCAAAGACCTGGCCGTGTTTCGATTGTTGGTGCTCCCGGAGCTTATCTTGCCTCGAGAAATCTTTGTCGCACGCCGAACAGGTGTACCGCAGCCCGGAATGAGTGAGAAGATGCCTCTTGAGATTTCGCCGAGTTGCCACGAGTTTGCCACACTGGTTGCATTGTACGGCCCCTCCCAAGGCACCGCTATCTTCGTCCCGACTGTCCTCGCTATCCTCGCTATCCTCGCTATCGGTGTCATCGTCATTATCGCAATCGCTACTTTTTGGTTTGAGAGCCAGGTTGTACCCGCGCGGGAAGTTGGGTGTCTTCGAGTTGCCGATCTGCGCGTTGACCGGGTACGACGGGGTTTTCAAGTCCGAGGGGTTCAAAGCTGCCTCCGAGTTCGTGAAGTAGGACGCGTGTATGCTCGGCAAGCGGCCGGTAGTTTTCGGGTGCGCGGCACCCTCGGCCGCCGGCGGGCTCAACTGTTTGTTCTTGTGGCACCTGTTGTGGGACACGTACAGCCTGTGGCACGTGAATATTCGGCTGCAGAATTTGCACGTGTACCGCTTTGCCTCCTTCCTCTCGTGGACTTTGACCGCGTGGCTCTTGATCTTCTCGATTGCGTCGAATTGCTCGTCGCACACGTGGCACACGTAAATCTTTTGCTGTTTGTGGACCTTGGCGTGCTTATCCAGCTGGGCCAAATCGGCAAACGATTTTATGCAGTAGTTACACTTGTGGCGTTTCGTCCTCAATATAAGGGGCTTCTCGTCGTCGCTCTCGTTGCCGTTGTTTATTTCGGCAGCTGAACCGATCGTGCCGGCGTCTCGAGCACTTTGCTCGGCAGATATCGAATCGTCCGTGTTGCGCTCGGGTTCGCTTGTTGCTTCAAAGGGAGCGTAATCGTCCGGGATCGGTAAGCCGGGGCTGAAAATGTCGTTGCTTTGGAGGTACGGTATTGCGGCTTCCTCGCGGGATGACGAAATCGGATCTGCTGGCCACGGGGTCGGTTGTTTATCGGTGAGGGCTCGGCGCAGGTCCCGGTCGCTTTTTTCCACTTGGCACTTGAACGCGTACGTCACGTGGACCATGTCGCGACAGTTTGTGCAAACGATCGCTGGCAGGCCGTCGTTTTCTCGGATCTGCAAGAAAAATCGTTGTTTCGAGGGAAAAACGACCATGACGTGTGAGTTTTTATTTTTTCATCAGTAAAAACTGATAAACAATAACAAAAATTTAAAAAAACAAAAAAACAAAAAAAAAAAAAAACTTTAATTTACAATGTAAACCAAGTTACAACATCATAAGCGCTGCTCCTTTTAAAAAGTCTTCCCCTCGCGTTCAATGGTTCAATTAATATTAGTTGATGGGAAAATAGAGTGCAATTAGATTCAGGTTACAAGCGAGCTCTCAATGGAGCCTTTTTATGTATAGGCAACAATGAAAAAATGAATCTACATAGTTGAGAGTGAGTGTAAATCCACCAGAGTGCACAATTAGAATACACCCCAACATGCATGAATCAATTAAAAAAAAAAAAAAAAAAAAAAAAAATTGGAAA